TGATTTATTGTAGAGATGAGGTCTCGCCTAGTTGTCCAGGTGGGTCTCAAACCCGCGGGCTCAGGCAACCCACTCACCTCAGCCTCCCAAAGGCATGGGATTACAGGTTGAGCCACCGAACCCGGCTCATCCTTTCCTTCTGACTAGACTAAAGGAAGTGCTTCATGGAACTAAGCTCAGACACCTGAGAGAAGCAAAACCTAGCTGCTGCTGATACTACTAAGGGGCAAGAAGAGGCCAATGTTGGGAGTTCCAAAAGAAGCTGAAGGCAGCTGAGTGCGGTGGCTCATACCTGTAATCCCAGCAATTTGGGAGGCCAAGGCAAGATGATTTCCTAAGCCCAGGGTTTGAGACTAGTCTGGGCAGGTCTATAATAAATAAATAAATAATTAGTTGGGTATGATGGCACACACCTGTAGTTCTAGCTACTTGGAAGGCTGAGGCAGAAGGATCGCCTGAGCCCAGCAGATGGAGGCTGCAGTAGCCATGAGCATGCCACTACACTTCAGCCTGGGCAACAGTGAGATTCCAACTCAGGAAAATCAAAAAGGAAGCCGGCGGCTAGAACCAACTATTATCACTTTGGAAAAGGGCTGCAGCTGGGATGACAGAGTAGAACAAAAAACAAAGAAAAAGGAGAAAGTCTCTTCTCCCCTCCAACTTGCCTATAGTGAGCTTGGCAGAACCTAAGAGGATGTTAACTGGCAAAGAGAAATATATGCAGAAATTCAGTGGTATCATCAGAGTATAGACAAAAAGCAAACAAAAAGGAGAAAATCTACTCTCCCCTCAACTTGCCTCTAGTATGCTTGGCAGAACTTAAGAAGATGTTAACTGGCAAAGGAGAAGAACATGCAGAAATTCAGTGGCAGTATAAGAGTATAAAAAGTTGGATTTGGCGACAGAGTGAGACTCCAACTCAAAAAAAAAAAAAAGTTGGATTTGGAACTAAGTGACAATAATTTAATAGCCAACACAGCCTGTTTTTGTTGTTGTTGTTGTTGTTGTTGTTGTTTTTGAGTTGGAGTCTCACTCTGTCGCCCAGACTGGAGTGCAGTGGCCGCTCCCGGCCACCGCAGCCTCAATCTGCTGTGCTCCAGCGATCCTTCCGCCTCAGCCTTCCAAGTAGCTGGAACTATAGGCACGTGCTACCACGGCCAGCTAATTTTTGATTTATTATAGAGATGAGGTCTCGCCAAGTTGCCCAGGCAGGTCTCGAACCTGCGGGCTCAGGCAATTCATTCACCTCAGTCTCCCAAGGCATGGGATTACAGGCTGAGCCACCGAGCCTGGCTTAGCCTGTTTTTTTGTTTTGTTTTGTTTGAGATGGAGTCTCACTCTGTTGCCCAGGTTGGAGTGCAGTGGCACACTCATGGTCACCAAAGCTTCAACCTGCTGGGCTCAGGGGATCTGTCTCAGCCCACCAAGTAGCTGAAACTACAAGCATGCACTAATTTTTTTATTTACTGTAGAGATGACATCTTGCCAAGTTACCCAGGCTGGTTCTGAACTCCTAGACCCAGGCATTCCTTTCACCTCCATCTTCCAAAGTGCTGGGATTACAGGCGTGAGCCACCACATCTAGTCAGTTTCTGTTTTTAAAGAATTTACTACATCTTTGTGAGTCACTTCTCAAATAGAACTCTAAATAAAGAGCCTTGGCTTGTTTAACCTACAAGAATCCTAGAAGAATAGTTATGAATGACTCAGAGTCTTTTCTACAGGGAGTTCCAGAGTAAACATAGTAAGGTAGAGAGCAAGAAAATAAAAATTAGTCTAAGAGCCGGGTGCAGTAGCTCACGCCTATAATCCCAGCACTCTGGGAGGCTGAGGCATGAGGATTGCAAGAGTTCAGGACTTCAAGACCAGCCTGGGCATCATTGCGAGGCCTCGGCTATACAGATAAATACAAAAATTAGCCAGGCATGGTGGTGCATGTCTGAAGTCCCAGCTATTCAGAAGGCTGAGGCAGAAGGATTGCCTGAGCCCAAGAGGCCAAGGCTATGGTGAATCGTGAGGATGCCATCCAACCTGGTGACAAAGTAAGAACCCAACTCAAAAAAATCAAAGGAAAACTGTCCCATCTGTACAAGAAATTTTTTAAAAACTAGCCAGGTGTGGTGGTATGTGCCTGTAGTCCCAGATATTTGGTGGGAGGATCACTTGAGCCTGGAAGGTTGGTGCTGCAATGAGCACTGATCATACCACTGCACTCCAGCCTGGGTAACAAAAGGAAAGGAAAATTGCACGGTAACTGAACAAGAAAGTAGGGTGTACTGAAATCCATTACTAAAAACTTTACACATCCTTATAAACACTTTAAAGTCCATTTTTCAATGACATATGCAGATATCATGACACTCTACAGCCCATGTCCCTTCAAATTAATGAGCTATATTTTAATGTCCTTCATCACTTCCCATTTATTGATGAATAAAATCCCAGAATATAAATCAATATGACCTCAAACAGTGTCCTGAACTACTTTTCTTCACTTGGCTATTTCCCAGGGTATAATGGATTCTAGTAAACAAAAAGGGGGGAGGCTCCAATCATTGCCCGTATTTTTTTTTTTTTGAGTTGGAGTCTCACTCTGTCACCCAGACTGGAGTGCAGCAGCCG